CAATTAGCCGGTAAACGGAACAACAGTTAAACTTTCCACGGAAATTCTCATTTTCCGGGAATTTAATCACCCAAGAAATAGGACTAATAGAAAAAAGAAAAGAAAACAAATAAATAAATAAAAAGGCGGGATTTACCGGCATTTGATCATGTTTATTTGCGTACCAAGNCAAATCTTTTCGCACCAAAACCAGTGTAGTCTGTCGTATAAGCTTTAAGGCACTGACCGAATTTTTCAGTAACATTCAACGACATGTGAAATGCAAGAAGAAAAACTTTCAAGAAGTAAAAACCTGTCTAGAACAATAACCGTTGGGCTGTTTACCTGTATTTTTCAGTTCCTCTTGAGTTTCATAGTTCTCCTGAATGTACTTGATGGTCTGCTTGTTGGCGAAAGGGTAGAGAATTTCATTCAGTCGTGGATCCCGTTGTGTCTGATCCGGTCAAATAAGGGGGCAACACAATATTTCGTCAAAAAGATGGCCAAATATATATGCAGTGGATACGATCGCGGTATGTATAACTGAGTTTTAATCGGCCAATCAGATAACTGTGTTATGATCGTCTTGTATATGTAAACGCCTGATGCGATGTATCGAAATGAAATTTGTTCGCGGACACCGTTTTTCACATTATCTATGGGAATTCTTCGCGATTTATAATGCATTTCTCGCTCACGTCGCATTCCTGGTCAACTATACCCGATAACTACGAAGAAGCTCACGTGGTCTCGTTCGACATTTTCAAGGGTTTCGATCACGTTTGGAACGAAGGTTTTCTGTCGAAATTACCCACATTCGGATTCCATCCGTCTCTCGTATTGTGGCTCTGTTTCTTCAGCAAGTGAACCATTTCCGTCAGAGTCGATAGGGTCCTATCTGGGTCATTCTTTGTGAATGCCGGTGTTCCGCGTACTTCGTCCACCCTCTTTCTTCTTTTTATCAATGATCTGTTCTTCAAAACATCTAATCCCATCCACTGTATTGTCGATGATGTCACTCTTCATTGCTCTCTTCCTTACCCCACAACCCATCAGGCCACTACCAATATCGATCACGATCGCAATGTCATTGGTGCTTCTCTTGCTTCCGATCTCGGAGTTCTACCAAACATGTGTTCTAATGCTTCTAAAACTTCTCTGCCTCTCCGTCGCTCTTAAACGTGTCCCTAATCTCCTCAATCGATTTCGACTTGCTGCCCATTCGTTCCACAGATTCTCTCCCCCTTCTGGATTCATAAATAAATTCTTCCCTCTTTTGGTTCCCGTTCATTTCCACACGTGCTGTGCGCAAAGTCAGTTTTCTGTTCCGCACAGTGTTTCTTTACACCCAAGCACCTTCTCCTTTTGAACAAAACTCAAATCCGACTGATGCTCGAATAATGCAGTCACTCATGGAGTGGAGCTTCGTATTCTGCTCTTTCTGTCCTCGGCCGTGTTCAACGTAAGACCATCCGGCTGATCGACGAACTGTCTTTAACTTCCAACCTGCAGTCGACTCCCCATTGCCGGGTAGTTGTTTCGTTATCTCTTTTCTATCGTTACTATTTTGGTTTCTGCTCTTCCGAACTCGCTTCAGCGGTTCGCCTCTCATTGAC